TAACTCCAATAGTTCCTGGGTGGTAATATTTGGAATAGAAATTTTTGTCTGTGGACACCAAATACAAAGCGTGGATAAAAGCTTCCAAAACTTCACTTGAGTCGTAAGAGCATTTTTGGAACAACATTTTTCCAGACCAATCTCTTGCAGAATAATAACAACATATTTATAGTTTCCTTAGTCCAGAAAGATTGTAGACAGCTATACAAGCAAAAGAAGATGTGACAGGATGCCAACTGTTGCAAATTCATACCCTGTACTTTCCTACTTAAGCAAAACTGTAATGAAGCCCAAAATAAAGAACTGTTTTTGGCAGCAGACTTGGACCCAAATCCATCCAACTGAATACACTACAGTAAGAATGTGAATGTGAAATCTGTCATCGTACTTGGACAAATGATCATTTGAGGATTTTGTCTCTTCACAGTAGTGCACCAGATAAAAGAAGAATCAGTACAAATCAGGCATCTGAATCATCTTGAGAGCAGTATTATCTTCATGAAAGCCTTAGAAGTAGCCTTAGAAGTAGCTTCTAAGCAGCCTTAGAAGTGCAACCATAGAACTGTTAACAATTAGGAGAAATTTCAAGCTTAAACAAGTGTTATTGGTATGTACTCACCTGAATTTTACCTTGTACTCCAGTACTATCCATTCTACTGGCAACATTTACAGTATTCCCCCAAATATCATACTGTGGTCTCCTGGCCCCAATGACTCCTGCCACTACAGGACCAACATTTATACCTAAAAAATACAGGAATAATTTTTTATTTTTCTGTTATTGCTTCAAAGGCTACACCTCATATGTATGATAAACAGTAACCCACTGTTTGCTATAACTACCAAAACATTTTCCCCCTGGACATAACACATATCATTATCATCATCATCTTGCATTTGAACCCAAGACAAGATTTCTTAAAAGCTTTAGAAACGAAACCACATCTGTCCTGCCACACCTGAAATTCAGCATCAGTTTATAAAAAAAGAGAAAAAAAAAATCAGTTGAACCTATGGATTTCAATATTTTTGGTGAAATAAACCACCTCTGAGGTGAACTTAGTACAAGAGAGCAAAGTAACACTACTACAGTTCAGAGCAAGAGGTTAATGTTCCTGATTGCTTCTTATGGACTCTTATTATTCTTGTTAAGCTGTAGCCCTCCTCAGTACGTGTTCATAAGACAGACACAGTCCCTGGGCTAGGAAACATCAGGAGCCCCTGGGATAACAGGCAACAGGTCAAATTAAAAATCTGGATACCAGCTTATGTAAATATTCTACAAGCAGAACACAAGCTCCATTAGAAGTGCTGGGGGTAGAGGACAGCATGCACAACTGGCACCTACATTTCCCCTTTGGAAGAACAGTGACAGCTCCTACAGCTTTGGCTGGTTTTGTTAGGCTGGTGTGGAAGGAAGGAGAAGCCTTGCCTTCCTAAGGGTGTTCTACATAGCAGCTGGTGCTGACTCTCTCAGGCACTGTGCAAAGACCAGGGCTGTGGCTTCCCACAGTGAAGTTGGACAGATTAGGCAAGATAATTCTTGTGCATGTCTAGCTTCAATGCGGTTCCAAGGACATTTTGCAGAAAAGCACTACACCAGGAAAGAAGGGGAAAAAAATCCAGCTGATAAGAAGGGGGTGGGGGTAGGGGTGGCCATCTCCTTCTATCACAATTGATGACTCTCCTCTCCATTGCTAGAATCCTTTCATATGCTCCCACCCAGATTAAAAACTCAAAACCATTGGGTTAGGACACAAAAGGAGTGAGGATGGGGGAAGCTAGTCATGTTAGAAGATTTTACGGAGATGAGAACAACAAGGGAGGTACCAGTGGGAAAGATCTGGAAGATGGTACCTGTAGCAAGAAGGGAAATGGCTCTTGGGGGGTGAGGATCACATCGCTATTCTTCACATGGAGAACTGCATGCAAGTGTGTTTGTGTGGTGTAAGAAAGGACTGAAGGAGGGGTAGGGGACTTGATTTGTTGGAAGAAGCAGCAGCTGCACAAACCAGGTGGAATGATTAGCTAAAAGCAAGAATACATATCATAACAACATAATAAATATTTTTAGAAGTCTTTACAAACTATCGCTACACTAGAGCTACATGGAAAGCTGTTATCCTGTCCTAGGAATGCTTTTGAGATTTCACGTTTTTTTCCTCATCTAAAATGGGATGAAATTAATTTAAATATTCATTGAGTAGGATTCTGAACCCAGTGCTCTCAGAGTCTTAGGTGAATGCCCCAAGCACCAAGCCAGAGTCAGTCCTTCTATTAATGTCACACAACTGAACAGCTCTAAGAGGAGAGATCCCCACCTCAGTATAGTCAGTAGACTGCTTAGCAGAGTACTCACCTGAGATGGGGAAGTAGTGGTTTCAATTACTGGTTGATCTCCAGAAACCGACTTTTGGTCTTCCCCACCCCAATTTACTGTTTTAATCACTGAATTCTGTACTAACTGGATCATGCATTGTGTACATGTGTATGCTCACTCATGCTCTCTCTCTTCACCAGAAATTTCACTCTGAGCCAGAGAAATGTTTTACAATGAATACTTTGTTGAAACCGATAGGTCCCCACAAAACAGTTTTGGATCTGGATAAATCAGGAGTTTCTCCTGAAATACGATTCTCATGGAAGATCCCTACCCAGCTTTAATAATGCACCTACAATTATGTTCACAAATGCAAGAATGCACACAAGTGAAGAACAGCCAGCTCTGGTATAAAATGCACAGCAAGGTGAGCAGACACAGCTTGGCAGGAAATAAAGACTAACAGCATAAGCAGTAGAACCTGCAGGATTTTAGGTAAACATTGTGTAAGAAACCAAATGGAACTGGACACCAGGACAGATGCCCTTAGTGATTAATACCTTCATTTTATTTTCTCCCACATATATGTGAAACAGCTACTAAAATTAATTGCAGTAGTTCCAATGTGTCAATGGTAAAAAGGCTCTTCACTGAGACCCTTCATGCTCCCAGTTTTACTGAAGAGCAGAGAACAGGCAATTCTTTACTCTTAAGCCTATGCACTATCATGGAGAAAGTCAGCAAACAGCAGTGCTTTGCTTGTAAGCTAACTGTAGAAACAGACTTACCAACTCGTAGGACAAACTCGTTGTAAGACTGATAGTTGATTTCATCAAGAACATCAAACATCTCTATTGCAAAATCTGCCAGTGTACTCAGGTGGGAATAAATTGATTTTTTAGCCTAGATGCAAAAATAATGTTTTATATTAGATTTACATAGTACTCAGAAGCTGATGAAACACTGCCATGAAAAACAAACAAAAAACCCAGAAGACTTTGAACAGAATATAAATGCTTTTGCTAAATATGAAATGGAACTTTTAGCTGTGTTTCGAAGACAGGCACTGTCTTCTCAAGATCTGAACTCATGTCTTTTTTGAAACCAAAAACCTTGTGGAAAAGTGTTTTGCTGGCTAAAGGACTATAGCTGTGTGGAAAGGATTATGATCCATCCCACTGCAAAACTGGATCTTCACATGAAAGATATTTGCAGTTACTGCACTTCTCTCCTCCTCTGGTTTTTGGGTCTTTTCTAGCTTTATGGTTCTGAAGTCTGCTTATGTTCCCTCTAACAAAATTTCTGTTGAGTTTACTGGAGCTAGCTTGGCTCTATCCATTGCACAAAGGAGCTTCAACAGCTGGCAGGGAAGACGTGTGCTAGGTGAGCAGGGAGTTCACTCACTGACCTCATGAGACATGACAGCACATGAGAAACATATTTTGGGGGCTGTCCAGAGAGTCCCATGAAGAATCTCTGTCAGACTGCCAGCCCTTTAACTGACTTTACTGGTGACCAAAGAATTTTGCACAAACCAAGAAAAACTAAGGTTTTTTTTTTTTTCTTTAAATAAAGTTGACAAGGAACATGAGGGTTAGCCCTGGGCCATTTCCCATTTTAAGGAAGAGCTGCAGGCAAAGACTAAGCACCTGTCAGACTGTTCCACAGCTGCATCCCTCTTGCTCTCATCCCTCTCCCTGTTCTCCTCCTCAGTGTTAGGTTGGTCCTTTTTCCTAACCCCCAACAAAAAAAGAATGAGCTAGAAATACAGAAATAAGGAAACTGGCTGTCTACCAAGCTTCCAAGACCAGAGAAAGAGCAATAAAGGTCCCCTTGTTGGAGTCTTCTCTTCTATTAAGTCGTTTGCCTTTCACCTGTTTTTTCTCAGTTTCTGATATATGGTGCCATCATGTCAATTCTCTAGAACCATTTTCAGGATAAATGGCAACTACAAAATTTGTGTAGATTAGTGAGTACCTATTGTTTGTTTTCCAAATTCTCTTTGCACTGTATTAGCAGTCTTCTAGCTTGCAAGAATAGATCCTAGCCCAGATGAATGAAAATCTGAGGAGTCACTCAATCCAGACTCCCAATTATGACACCAGGAATCTTTAACAAGTCTTTAATACACACACACACACACAGCTGTGTTATCTGGCATCCAGGGGGGATGTGGAGTGCCTGTTAATCAAAACTGCTGGTTATCTGAGAGGCATCTGTTCAGGTTGCTGCCCCTCCTGCTGTGTCCGGTACATCAGTGTGCTGGGTCACGGGGAGGGGGCCCCGCGCAGGCTGCTTTGCCTCGGGCCGTGGGACACAGAGAAACCAAAAGTGCCAACATGGGACTTCCAGTTTCACTTTTGCCGTGTCAGTGAGCATGCCGGTTAATAGCGCATTCCAGTTAGGAAAGTGCTGGATAGCACAGCTTTTACTGTACACACACACACACACACA